CAGCGGTTTTTCCTGACAACATTAATTTCAGGCTCCACAATCTAGAGCTCCACAGTCTCAGGTATTCGTCATGACCGGTGCCCAAACCGAATCTTCGTATCAGCAGTAAGTTGGTGATCAATTTTCAAAATTTAAACCTATTGTATTAGATGTTTCTCTGCCGAAATGTGTGACTGCGGATACATGAATGAGGCCGAGATTGTCACGGAAGACCATATTCCTCAGAATATAGCCCAAAAACTTCATACCGTAATGAACGAAACACTTGCGACTCCCGGAATATTTGGGAGCCATCAGAAAGTCTACATGACCATTATGTCAACTGGTTTTGAAATTAAAATTCGAAGAACTGTGAGTTTATTCATTTGAAATACACCTGAATTTCTTTATATTGTGTTTTAGACAACAAAAGTGGAATTCGGAAAACTTGTCGTAGTTTACTTGCATGGTGCAGCCGATGTGCTTGGAATAGGCTTTTACCATAACAACAGCAAAGAGAGAATGAAGTTCACAATATTGAAAATGGTGTGTTTCATTGCTGTTTATCAGTTCCTAATAATATTGTTTTTTTTTCAGAACAGCACAGAGGAAAAGAAAGGAATCGCTGTAGCTCTACTGAGGTGCTGCGCTCGTAAATATGTAGGAAACCCAACGGATTTTGAAACATTCTTTTTTTAAATTTCATTCTTATATTTGGAAAACTATTTCGGTCTCTAATTGTAATCGCGATCTCTAATTTCAATTTCGATCTCAAACAATAAATTTTTTTTTCAAAAACTTTTTTTCGCTGCGTTACACAGAAACCGTTTCAGCAAAAGTGCAGCTTTCAATTTCTAGATTTATTGAATTTCAGAAATAAAACCGAAACTTTCTAAGTTGACCAAGGTCATCGAACCGTCATTTTTGTACGAATACACAAGTTCAAAGACACTATAATGAACAGTTTCTATCTTTTGGAACTTGTTTCGGCGAATTTCTTCCTATCTAAAAGATAAGAAGAAGAGAAAACGCACAAAAAAAAACAAAAAAGTTGCGTACACTGTGTAATACATGTACCCATAGTCTATCATCAATTGGAAAAAAAAGTAATTCACGTGTTCGTCACAAAGGGTAGCGGTTCAGCAGGAATAATCACTTTTTATAGATCAGTTGATATTTTTTGAATGGGTTATTCAAATTCAGAAGAATGCTCTCCCCTGTACTTTTAAAAAAGTTCTTCATTTTGATTTCGATGCTCTTGTTTTTCGGACACTTTTTCCCGGAAATTTTGTTGAAAACCAGCCTTCTATTTGCCCCTCCTTTGGCGCTTTTCAGCATTTTCAATTGTTCGTCTCCACTCCACACTTTTCGATTTTTCTTTCTCACACTGTAGATCATCTACGCCCTCCCTCTCCTCTCCTGGTGTGGAACTAATGGCGCAGCTGTGTGCGTGCGCGGCTATTGTGCTGAAGGCCGCGGGTTCGGTTTTGGTGGCGGCCTCAAAAGATGACAGCGTGACTTCAGGAAGGACAGACGCGCCTAGCGTTTTATATATAAGGAAGATTTCGAATCAAAGTTGAAAATCTGCCAATCTCAGTAAGTTTCGTATTGAACAACTCTTCGTGAAAATTTCTGAATTTTGTATTTATACTTTTTTAGAATCGTACTGAATCGTACTGCCACAAATTTTATTGGAACCATTTATTCCACCAAACTCTTCTAAGAAGAAAAATCAATAATCAACCAATAAAATGTTGGGGATATTATGACAATAACTTTATCAATTGTCATACTTCCGTCTTCTTTTATAGGAACCGAGATAGAATGGCTTAAAGTTGAAAGGTCATCATATTAGATTGTTTATGGTAGTTATCATTTTCAGAATACTGTGATATCAAAATATGGAAAGTTTCCAGTATTTTGAATTTGTGATTCAACCAATAATGAAAATTAACTGTCTTCGGAAATTTGCGAAAAAAAAACCGGAAGTTTTGCAGATTACATTGTTCTGCTTGCAAGATACCCTATATGATTCATTCACCCGAACAAAGAGAATCTTCCTCTAGACAAGAAAACACGAATTCATAAATTTTCTGAAAATAATAATTATTATTGTTCAAGAACCCATCGTCAGCTGGTGTAGCATTTACATATTCATCGTGTCTATCTTCTCTTCCAAATCCGACCACGGCTAATAATTTATGACTGAAAACCCAAAATTCAGAGATGAACATTAGAGAGATACCGACGGAGACTTCATCATCAACATCATCAAAATATTTCAATTACTTAACTACTAAAAGCACAAGTCGTCTGCTTCAAGTTTTCGATCAACAACTCTGGACCACCCCCTACTTTTCAAGACTCGCTATGAAAGTGTCTGAAAGTGGTTTTTGAAGGAATAACAAGTGCAATTGTCTTCTATAATCTTTGGTGAAGAAGCTGAGGAAATGGTGTTCGTTGCCAAAAATCATCTAATGATTATTCTATTCGAGATGCTTACCAAAACCTTTGCCTCGATTACCAACTTTTTCAGTCAAACCACTATATTCTGTTTACATCTTCTCCGAGTCCTCCGTGCAAAGGTGAGCATTTTTCAAATAATCCTTATGTTTTCAGAGCTCTGCAAAAAATGTTGAAATCAATTCCAAATTCAAAGTTAAACGTCGAATCTCAAATCACATTAAAACACAAACGACATCTGGCTGTCATGTCAATTTTGGCTATTTTCTTCCGACTTTCTATCCCCCAACGTTCTATTTTCTTACTTCTTTTTTTTTTGCTATTTTTTTCGCTGGAAAATGAGAGAAGAAGAAAAAAGAAGGAACAGATAAAACACTTTTTTACGACGTTTCGTAGTCCTCCCAAATTAGTTCGACTGTCCGTCACACGAACCCTATATACGTATATACGTACCCATGATTTTATGTCCCCCCCCCCCACATTGCTCATCCCTCAAATTTCAATTGGGACAACTCATTTTGTGGAGTTGGGGAGACCTCAGCTGGGAGAGACAACTTTGTGCTCCTCCGCGTTCTTCTGATTGACTCAGATTGATGGGTCCAATTCCCATGTTTTTCTGCCAAATTCACTTCATTTTTCTGCTTGTGTACTTTTCTTTGTTTTCAGTTGCCTAGACAGTTTTTGAGAAAACTTTCTCAATTTTCCAGGAATTTTCTGGGAGCTTGAAATGATCCTAAGCCTGAAATTGATGTTTTATGGCGAAAATATGAAATAAGGTCTAGATCTCTTGAATTATATTTTTATTTGTCTGTCTATTCCAGACGGTTAACAAAATTCCAAATTTTTGGGAATTCTCCATTCCTGAACTTCTCATTCTCACTTTTCTCAGTTTCTCAGTTTAGGTCCTTTTTCCTCTTTTTCTTTTAGAATCCATCCCGATTACTTACTTTGCGGCTAGCCACTTTTTTCCTGCTACCCGTTCAAATTTTTTCTCCTATTTCTATTTTTTTTCTGTTCTTTAGCATTAGTCAGATCTTAAAAAAGTGCGGAGTTTAGCACAAAAACTAATCATATTAATGCAAACCGAATTACTGGGGTGGCACGTATTCATAAGAATAAAAATGTAGGCGTTTTCAATAAAATGTCATTGTCACATCCAGGAAGTCTATATTCTGTGTTTTCATTCCAATTTCTTTTTTTTTCCCTTTCGTCTTGTGAGAAATTAAATGTCTCTATCTATTTCACTAGTCTATACAAATCCAAATAAGGTAACAAATTCAGAAATTTTGAATGAAAGAAAATCAAATTGGATTAGACAGATATGACGTGTGCTTATTTTCTAATTTGGTCGATCGGCTAGTTTTTTTTTTCAATTTTTCTAGGACTTCTTTTTTGGAAGGGTCTCTGGTGCTCTAAAACAGGAACGCATTTTTTCAAACTTAGCTTATCAGATTTGAACATTTTTGAATATAATTTTTTAAACCCAAAATTTCCTTGAAAACTCAATTGCCTCATTCTCTAAAAACAAATCTAGCTTAAAATTACTCTAGAAAAAAATTTAAAAAATTTCTGGAGGTATGGGGAATTGAACCCCAGCCCTCTCCCATGCTAAGGGAGCGCTCTACCACTGAGCTATACCCCCGCACGACTAGAGAGAAGCGAAGCATGTACACATGTTGCCGACTGGCGCTAGTAGTGGAGGGAGAGAAGGAGGGAGAATAAACATGTTGCATAGTGTTTGGCGCCGAGTACACACAACATGCCGCGAGGATAGGAAAAACGGGTTGGCTAGAGAAAGGCTTTTGAGTTTGAAAGTGAGATAATAACAATAATGTTTTGCTAAATATTTTTTGAATGTCTTCAAGATTGGACTGAGATTCATTTGGAATTTTTAGATTTTGAGATTTTAAGCTAATTCGCTTTGGAAGTTTTTCAGAGTCTGACCTTTTCAATTGTTCCGGTTTTATGATGTTTTTTCTTTTAAAGATTTTGCAACTCAAAAGTCCTAGAAATTGGAAATTCTGAGATTTTCAGAATTTTCGTATTTACATTTTTGAAATTCTCAGCTTCTGAAAAATTGGGAATCTGAGATTTTGAGGTTCTGAGATTCTGAGATTCTGAGGTTCTGAGATTCTGAGATTCTGAAATTTTCAATTTTTCAGATTCTCAGATTTTTTGGTTTCGATGTTTTGCTACTTCAAAATATTGAAAAAATGGGATTATGATATTTTGAGAGTCCCGACATACTAAATTCCGAACAGAAATAATTGGAGCCTAGTATATCGTAAACACTCTAATCGACCCCATATTTGCACTTCGAGCTTAGTTATCTCAATTTCTGTAAGACATATCAAAAATATGACTACCAATGAAATGTGTGTCGTGATATCACCAACATTTTATCAGTTGACACATTGTTTGTATCTCTTACAGAAATCGAGATAATCAAGCTTTTAGTGGAAGTATAGTATGGTATTCTATTGCATTTATCGTTTTACTAGGAAGATTACAAAACCTTGATACTTTCTCAGTCAAATGCTTTATTTATCGTCTTTTTTCCCAAATCCGCAATTCCAGATGAGCATCGCCCACGAAAAAGAACTCCACATCAATGAAAATGGTGTCTATCCAGTTGTCAAAAAACTCCCCTCCCCGTTATGCTGCTTTAAAGTCATGCACATCAGGGTAAGCTGATTTTGAGCTTTTTGCTTCTGAAAATCCTGAAGTCTAAGTTTTTCAAATAGTCAGATTCTTAGATTTCTCACTTTTGACAATTTGCAAGTGACTAGAAATTGAAAAACTTATTTTTCAGACCGGAACCCTGTGGATTGCCTACTGCGAAATTATGTGGATAGTATCTCAATGTTCGTTTTGGACAGCAGAAAGTATAGTTCGTGAGGCCTTTCCTCCATATGTTATAATTGCCGGATTCACCTTTACTTGCATTCAATTAGGTACGAGAAATGATGGATAGGTATAATTAAATTCTTGGTTCTTCCAGTTTTGGTGTTTTTCCTGATCCAAGGAGTCCGGACGTTCCGACTAGCATACATCGAAGTCTACATGATAGGTGTTTGTTGTAGAATGTTCATGTTCCTGTCGTTTTTCTTGACGCTGTTATTCTTTTTTATCATAGCAGGTAAGATTTTACATTAGAATCAACAAATAAGGCAAAAAAAAAATCAAAAATTCCAGATGACAACGACGAAGAAAACTCGGATCAATTTTTCCACCGCTTCCTGATCATAAAAATGATATTCACGTGCGTCTACACACTTCTGAAGGCGTACGCTTTGTACACCGCCTACCGGTGTTACTCATACATTGCGAAAACGCGACGCGCTATTGTGCATCTCACAATTTTCGAAGATCCTGGCAGGTAGGGCGTGTTTTTTGTATCAAGTATTACTATTTCCTCGAAAAACTACATCATTTGGTTTCTTGAAATTCTCTGTCCTCACGTCAAGGGATAAAACTATAAAAATCATTTTCTCACCTAAAAATATATTTATTTGCTATCCTCAAATCGGTTTATTTTCGTTTAGAGCATTTTTCGGATGAGTGAGCTTCACCTGGGATAAACCTTGATTAGAGGGATGATCAGACACCAAATGAAGAGTATACTTGGTTACGTACCTAGGTGTGTAGACGTGAATTATTTAAAACCTACTCAAATGCGGTCAGCAAGTTTTCGGCCTTGCAAAGAAGATTTTCAGAATTTTTATGGAAGTATATATTGGTCAAAATTCAGTGACAGTCTTGCCAAAATGAAATTACGTCTTATTTTTTTGTTTTCAAGACGTTGAAAATATTTTAGACATTGATTTTGACCATTTTCAAAACTCTGGAGCTTGGCTATCAAGTTTCCGATCACTTTGAAAGTTTTGGAGTGCCTAATACAGACGTAGATTAAAAACTTTGCATTCAGTATTTTTAGATTATTCCTAGTTTTTTAGCTATTTGCCTCTTTTAGACTGTTTTCGTCCTGAAAACCTGAAAAAAACAGGTGTCTTTCAGAAATCCGGTACATGGAATTGAGTTTAAAAATGATATTTTTTTTCAAAAATTTCTCTTAAATGAACGGTGAGCTATATATTTGAGATAGTAGTTATACATTATGACATGAAAGGAATCGGATGGGTCATTTTTTGCCATCAATATCTAAGAAAAAGCGAGAGGACACTTCGGTTACTTCCCTTGTCAGCTGAAAAACTAGGAATGTTCAGATAATTATGTTATTGCAAAGTGTTCAATCTAGGTCTGTCTTATACCCTCCAAAATATTCAAAGTGATCAGAAACTTGATAGCCGAGCTCTATGCTTTTGAAAATGGTCAAAATGCCTGAAAATCAACAGAACGTTGCGTGTTTCTATCAACGCTACAGTATATTAGCCATATTTGTCACTGTGAACCGGCTCGGCAATTGATAAACTCGAATTTCGGAATTTTCGAAGATTATTACAAGTGATGTCAATTCTTGACCCTTCCTAGTATGTCTATATCCCCCAAAATCCTATCATATAATCTTTGTAAGTTCTTCGAAATGTTGACTTGTCTGATTTCATTTTTATTTTTCTTTTCAAAAAAAAACCTTTTTAGACAGAACTTAACGTTATTATTGTTATTATTAACATTTCCGGATTTCAAAGCCCATAGAAATGCACTTGCATCTTTTTTGTCTAAGATCGTAGAAAATCCTTTTTGTAATCCTTCCTCTCCGACTATTTTGGTCACAACTATTCGTAAAACGGATGATCATAACTTTCCCATAGAAAATCGAGACATACAATTCTTCTCTATTTTCTTGTGAATCACGGTCGGTAATCTTTCTCGTTTGATCCGTCATTTCAGCGTATTGTCAGCTTGTTGTTTTTCCGGATATTATTTCCGGCGTCTCAATCTTCAAAAATATTTCCTGACGAAGGAGAAATGAACAGAGCTCAATTGGCATAAAGCTTCATATTTAAATGACACAATGCCAATTGCAGAGGAAACGCCGGCTCGAATGTCTGGGGTGTATAATGTTATACAACTTTTATAAGATGAAGGGTATTCCACCTTTTGTGTGTTTTCCGGGAAACCAGAAAAACATTGAACTTCTGGTTGATCTAGTTCATTTCCATTGTTTTCCACCTGTCTAATCTTTCAAAATCGTGTAGTTCTTTTCCTGAAACATGCAAGTTTTAAATAAACCTTCGAAGTCATATAACGCAAGTTGTTTCTTGAAACGTCATTTATTTCTTTTGTCGAACTCCAGCTCATTGTTCTAGAGACACCGTCATAAAATGCGTGGTCCCTTTCTTCTTCCTATACCTACACCATCATTCCGATTCTCACATTCTTTAGGTGTCCCCATATTGAGGTAATTGGAGTAGGAAGAAGTCAACAAGAAACACATTTCCTTGTTTCACTCTCCTCCTTTTTTCAAAAAAATGTTGTTTCTAGAGACGTCTCCGTTGAAAAATCATTAGACTGGATTCAACGGACCCTTGACGTAACAGCGAGGGTGAATAGGAGGTTAATTGGTAGGGTGAATAGGGTTGCGAACGTGGATTAGGGGAATTCTTTCGGAGAGGTTCAGAGTTTATTTGGTGGCTGGAACGAGTTGCTCAGATTTTTTCTGTATAATTGTACGCTGTAAATTTTTTAAAGCTTCAGTATTTCTGGAAAACACTAAACTCCTGAAAATCTAGGTTTAAAATAGCTTAAAATATTACTTCAAAATCTAAAAATATTTTGGAATAATTTTTCCAGATTATTATTAAAATCTGCTTTGGAAATTTGCCAAACGTTAAAAACTAGAATTTTGTAATTGTCAATATTCTTGCCGAATTCCAAAAAAGCGCTAAAATTGCAAAAATTGAAATAAGTGTTGTGAAACTTTTGACCCGTTTACTTCGCTTCATTGTATTTGTAGAAGTAAGTTGTCAACAACAAAATTGAAGATCTATTTTTGTATAATAGACTGTAGAATTTTCAAACCAATCAAAAAATTCTGGATTGCTTTTTTAGGGCTTCAAAGTTGTCTAGTTTTCACTTTAAAAAAACGAAATATGTTTAATTTTCGCCTGGTACTGTAAATCATACCGATGATTGAAACTTTTCTAGCTACTCATTTTTTTTCAATAATCAATGATTCTCACTTCCGACACCTCCCTCAACCCTACCTTTTCTCCTTCTGTCTAGTTTCAACAGAATCAATTCTCCAAATCCCCAATCTACGTCCATCATTAGATTTTCGCAGGGTGACACCGATAAAATTTCAAAGTCATAGATCACGCGTCTGTTAGTCTCCCCAGTGAGTTAATTAGGCATCCGAATAACGATTTCACAGCTCCAAAAACCCGGTAAACAGCTCCGAATAAGTATAAAAAGAGTTTGGTTGTATAGCAATGATCATTCTCACAATTTTCTCGGTCAACTTCCACTTGATACTTTTTAGGAAGCAAATTTCTGAAATTTGAGCTTAAAAACAAGAACAAGACCAGGATCAGACGTGTTCTTTTAGCAACGTTCTAAGGCCAGGCTCATCCGTCTTGGCCGTCATTGAGGAATGCCCCCGTAATTTGAGTGATAACGCTTTTTAGAAGATATAACACCAAAGCATATAAATAACCAAATAAAACGTGAATTTCTCAATTTTCATATTTTTGTCTCTCGTCTCTTCCTTATGCCTTCCTTATATCTTCCTCTTCCTCATGCTGGGGACAAATGTCCATTCATTTGGAACAGTTTTCAGTTGTTATTTCTGTTTGTATTAGCATCCAGACGAGTGTTTTGTCCTACTCTTCATTACTATTCATATGTCATTGACTGGAGGATCTTCCTCCTTGTTCTCTGGAAAGAAAACACACATACACTCATTCATTCATTTCACGCATCTTAATTCTAGAGCTATTGTCTTCCTTTTTATCCGAATCCGATTCTGAAATCATTTGTCTGGCCAACTTTTGAATATCTATAACTCTCAGAGCAGTCAGAAAAGCAGTCTGATTCCATTAAAATTATTATTTTAATTTTTTTCAGTGACCCCAACAATCATTTCAGTCATGTGCAACGTCTCGGTAACAGTCATAATTCTCTTCGCACTATGCTTCCATCAAGCCATGAGTGAGTTTATGAGACTTACTACCGTAATCCCAGTTCTCCATTCCAGGTGCCGGCTTTATGGATGCCGAGTCGGCGATCCAAGTGCCACGTCGGAGCGCCGAGATGTACTGGGTAAACCGTGCCATGCCAAACAAGTACCGGAAATACCGCACCTACAGTAGGAGAAGTGTCTCACGGTGGAAACGCATTTATCCGCTTCCAGGTGCTCTTCAGTCAATGGCGCCCGAGGATAAGAAGCGCTACAGTCAACAGCTGAAACTTCGTCTAGCCCAACTCACCCAGCACTGATCTACAACGCAGCTCCTGCTCCATATCGTAATCCCTCATGATTTTCAATAATACCGATCGTCTAAAAATGATATTTTTCTGTCTGTCTGTCTCTCTCTCTCTCTCTCTCTCTAACTTTTGGGCTCCACATAAAATATAAAACATTGTCTTCAATCGCTTTTCTCTGAACACAAAATCTCATCACCACCGCCTGTTTCTCATGAAAAAATTTAAAATTATGTGGTTTCAAGCTGCATCGTTCAATATAATGTGATGTGGTTTTCTATCTTGTCGAATAAAAAATGTTTGTTTGCTTCATATAATCTTTTTTCGAGCCGCTTTTTTCTTTTCAGGCCTCTTTCTGATTTTTTAATGAACAATTTATTCTTCCTCTAGATGTCCAAAATTGAGCCCTTCTCTGAGCAATCACGTTCTAATCTGGTTTTTGCTCCTCAAGCTGATGGTTTCAATGATGAAGTGCTCGAAAGTGCAACAGATGTCGTTATTGAATTCAAATATTCTGAGCAAAAGATAGAAGTTGATGACTCAAAATTTTCTTACACTTCTTCAACTCTCTTGTTGCGGATTTCAAAAGAGACAATTACTAAAAAGCCTGATATGGGAGAAAATTCTGGAACCTCTACATTGAGCAGTTCCACTCCGCGAACACCTCTGACACCGTCAGGAAGAGTAAAAAGCGTTTCTAAAACTACAAAAACAACCATATTTAGGATCAACTTCGCTCCATGATAGTTTTCCTCAACGAGAGCAATCGTGTTCTGGTAAAAACCACTGAATGATCGTTTTGTGTTCGACCCTCATCAAGTTTTCAGCTCAAAATTCGTCAACGGTTCTCGTTGAGTGCGTCGACACGCTGCGACGTCATTCAATGTCGAATTCAGATGCATTTGCAAGCCTTGTTTGGAGAGTTTCGCAGTAATGATGAGCAGAAATTTAAAGTTAGTTGAATGGGGAACGAGGAAGGGGTAGAATTGATTGGGGGCCAAGAGTCTAACTGTAAACGATCTAATACTTCTCAACCATTTAATCTTACAAGAACCCATTTCAGATCATGGAGGTTCCTGTTTTTTTAGTTTTGTGCTTTTTCTCAGCATTGCAGCCATTTGATTTAGAGTTCATACATTCTAGTTTTTGCATCTTGATGAAAATCGGAACAGTTACAGGTACCCAAGCACCTGGATTTTAAATTACGGCAGTCTGAATATTTTATCAATGGAAAACCGCTTTTGTAGTACATAGTCTATACTTTCAGAATATTCAAATAAGAAGCTACGAACATCTTCATTTTACCTACTCTAGTATAGAGCCTTCTAGACTCTCTAGTATAAAGCGCCACCCTGTGTTTCAACTTCGAGCTCAGTTATTTCGGTTGCAACTAGAGTTATCAAAAATATGTGAATTGATAATTAAAAATATTTTCTATTCCTCACAAATCGAGATAATTGAGCTTAAAATGTAAATTGAAACTATACTGGAACAGTTACTGTAACCCAAAAAAGAAGCTTTTAAAACTAGCGTGGTGTAAATTCTGAATTGTTTCAGATGGATGACTTAAAAGTAAGGAACATCTTTATTTGGCCTAATAAATGCTCTACATGAACGTTGAGCTCAATTATCTTAATTTCTACAAGAGCTGTCTAGAATATGTCAACTGATGAAATGTTTGTCATAATGTTCGCTACATTTTAACAGTTGACACATTTTTGATATCTCTGATAGGAACCGAGATAGAGCTCAAAATAGGGTTGTTATTAGAGCGTTCACGGTGGTTGATTGTAATTAGCTAACTAGGGGTCCTGGCCTTGTCAAAGAAAACTGAAAATACCTGAACCACTAAAAATAATTTTAAAACTTCAATATTAATTTGTTTGAATTTTCGATTCAAACTAGAATATGGTGTTTCAATGAGTTCACTTGAAAATGCGATACAACACTTTTTCAGGAAATGATACCCCAGAACCGCGAAACCTTCCTCACCATATGGGACCACCTTGCTCAATTAATCGTTGAATCCTGTTACCAATCACCATAATTTTTGTATCCCCCGGTTCTCTAAGATTTCTAATTGTCGTCATCTGTTTTTAAACCCAAATACAATGATTGAAGTCTCTCTATTTTTATCCAGTATCTTAAATACCTATTCTAATCACTTGCTACAATCCCACTGCTCTGTCCAAAAACATCAGAATCCTTGGATTTTTGTTCCTAGAAATTTTCCCACCCCAGCCCTCCTCAAATATCACACTTCTCAATCATTTATTTTGTGTGTCCCATTTTGTGTGTCCCTTTCCATTCAAGCTCACCTATTCTTGTCAAATGAAGTTCAAACTATCCATCGAGCGAGTTTTCCATATCCAAGGTGCGTTTTTATTTTCAACTAAAGACATAATTCGTTCAATTACAATAAGAAAAGGGGTTCGAGAGATGCGATCACAAAAATCAATTCAGTTTTGGAACTTACATTCAGGAACGTGTCGAAAGGCAAGGGAATTATAAAATCTAGGCAAATGAGTCAGATTTGGGGAAACTTTTCAAGTTCAATAAAATTGTAACCGAGGGTGAGTGGGGAGTATTCTAAAACACAAAATCACGATTCAGAAAAAATCAGTTGGGGTACTAGGTTCACTGGAAAATTCAAATAGTGATATCGCATTATCTTCAGAAAACAAAAAGCTGGATGAGAGATTCAGAGAATGGGGTCCAATGATGGGATGGATCTATGGTACATGTATCTGACAGAATAGTGATATCAAATTCAAAAATTAGGTTTTGTGGCAAAAAGTACAATAGCAAATGGTAGAGAAGCGGTGGATAGATGGAAAATAAAAGCGCGGCTTTCTATAGGGATGTTAGGGCTGTACAGAAGTTAGAGTAGGGGATGGCGTTTAGGAGGAGATGCTGACCATCGAGCGGCGGTTGAGAGTGTGGATCAGCTCACGATGATAGTCGATGCGCTCCGCGAACAATGGTCCGAACACCTGGAAAACGAGTATTTGAATTTTCAAAGCTTCAGAATTCACGGTGCGTAGATGATATCAGTCTTCAAGACTCTCCAAATTTTCTTATAATCCTAAGGCCATTCAAACTTAATTTTCTGTGTGGATTATTTTTAATTTCACAGGCTCTTTTACTTGGGGCTTTTTTCTAGGTTTTCAATAACCAGGTTATCATCGAAAACTAGCAAAAATCCAGTAAAATAGGAAAATGAAGCCATTTCCAGGTTATGGTTGTTACTGTGTTTTTCTGATAGAAGCCTACCAAAACCGTCAAATTTGAGGTCAATTATCTTCGTTCCTGTGAAAGATATCAAAAATGTGTCCAGTCATAAAATGTTGGTGATATTATGACTTACAATTTATCAGTTGACTAGTTTTCGATATCTTTCCTATGAATCGAGATAAGTGAGTTCGAAGTTTACAGTCTTTTGTGCCTTTTTGGTGGGCTTCTATGAGAGGAAATACGGTATATACCGTAAACAATTTAATAGAACGCCACGCAAACCGTTCACTTTGAGCCTATATATCTCACTTCTTTTGAAAGGTTTCAAAAAGTTGTCAACTAATGAAATGTTTATCATGATATCAGCAATACTCAGTTAGTTAATCATTTTTTGATTTCTTTCACAGAAATTGAGATACATGGGCTTAAATTTGGGTGGCGTTTTATTAGAGTGTTTACGGTATGTTTTAATTTAGGAAGTAGTTAACCCAGTTTTTTCGAAATAGTTATAGATAATTTTAGAGAAACTTCCAATTCTATTTTCGCATAACACTCCAACTTCAGAATGTCAATTTTTTGTACTTAAAGATATTCCCACGTTTTTTTGAATCTAAAAGGATTCTAAAAGAAGAAAGAGATTTTTGAGAAGAAAAATTATCATGATTATGTCTGGCATCCCTGTCTGGGTCAAATTTGCTGATAAAACCTCAAATCATCTAGATTCTCACCTGGAATTGCTCATGAGTAGTAATCTCATTGAGACGAGTCTTGAAGTCGATGACTTGCTTTCCAAGAAGATTGAGATAGGTTGGTGTCTCCTTGTTTTGCAAAATAGCCTGGAAAAAAACGGAAATTAGCTATTTTTTAGAAACCTCGGCGTTTCCGGAGATCTTTTTTCTTATTGTTCAATCTCCTACCATACTCCCCTCCCGAACCCCCTCCCCAATTTCCTTATTCTTTTTTTTCATTCGTTTCCCTTCTCACCCTAGCATCCAAGGTCCAGTCGGCCATTTGAGAGAAGTACTCGAGTTGATTCTTCTCCGCCAACGACAATGGTGTCAGACGATTGTTCTTAGCAGCCTCCACCATTGCGTCGTAGTGATGACGGTGTGGATGGAGGAGCATTTGATCGTTGAGCTGCTTTCGGAGGCTTCTGAGCATGTCCAATTGAATGTAAGACCTGTATTTGACTTGTTGTTCGTGGTAGTGAATGAGTCCTTGGATTTGTTGAAGTTGTTGGCACTGCTGAAGAGGTTCCATATCTGGAAGCGTTGGCTTTCCATTGACAATCGTCATGGCTTCTGGACGACATGGTAGACCATTATTGCCTAGTTTTGGAGTAGAGAGTTGTTGAAGAGTTTGGAGAACTTCAATCGGCATGAAATCTTCAACTTTTGGCTGTTTCTGTGGTGGACTGTCTGGTGTCTCGTTCAGGCTGAACCGTTTTCGCCTTGGAGCTTCTTCCTCTTTATTCACCTCGTTCCCGTTTTCTTCGATCTTTGCTACCTCGGGTTTCTCGTTTTTCTCGACATCCTCCGAGCCTACTGGTTCTTGCTTGCTCTCCTTGGCAGCTTCTTCAATCAACATCTTTTCTAGATCCTTGGCATCCTCTTCCTTCTGCTCCGCCATCGCCTTCTCAACGACGCTATTCATTATCGAATCGATGGAATCCATGTTGTTCTGTAAACAATGTATGTATATTGTGTTGAAGATAAACTCAGAAGAGAACGAGAACAAGAAGAAAGACACAGGACAGAATCCCCTATAGATAGTGCATGCCATTATACCTATACAAATTTTTGTATTATTCTCCCAGTCTCAGGAGTTCAGGTGCTGGGCACCGACTTCCAGACACTCTTTTGTCTCTAGCTAGACTAATTTTTCATATATCCTCTACGTTTTCAGAGCTCTTCTCAAGAGCCTCCACTTATGACATGTACTGTTACCTAGGTTTCCAACACTCCTCCCACTTTTTGCGAGCCTTTAAATGAATTTTTCTGCACTGAGCTCTTATAAACTTTCAGCTTCTACAGTGCTACCTCCCCACTCCTATTAGATGTTCTGTCTAAAATTTTGCATGAGGAGAAATGGTAAGCGAAACAAAAAAACTGAAAAGGGCTATCAAAAATATGAACTCTCTTTTTTGCGGGGTGTTCATATGTCCCTCCCTATCACCTCACATAACAATTCTATCCTATTTCTCATCGATAAAAAAAACGAAATGCATATGTGTGTGTGTCGGGTGTTTCGTTTTTGGTTGTTCCCCCCATTTCTCCTGTCTAGAAAAAGGAAAAGTAACGATTTTAAGCATAAATTATAAAAACTAAAGTCTTAATCAGATTTAGAACACCCTGTCTAGTTCTGTAAGCGTTTTGAACTGAAACATCACTAGTTTCAGACTCCAACGCCTCGGCCTGTAGCACTGACGGAATGTACGAGCCATCTCGACAAGTGTTGGACTATCGCCATATTGTAAGTCTATCAGTTATCAGTTAGTTATCAGTTGTTTATCGGTTATCTATTGATTCTATCAGCTACAGTATCCAGACTATCGATTTTCAGGAGCAAATCAACACTATCGTTTTCCATCTCCGTGAGCTGTCTCGTCTGGTGACCACCCAGATCGGAGTGATCCCAAATACGGTAGTCGGCCAGCTTCGCAGCCTCAATCAGCGTATCATGGACAATATTGAGCTCATCGAGGGAGATATGGCTCGCAATGAGCGGGCACCATTTGAGGTGAGATGTTGGTAAAAAGGCGAGATGAGAGCAAATGAAGATTTCAAAGATATAATTATGAAATTTCCGAGTGTTGCTAGGGGCACTAGGTTGAGAGCGTGATGAAATTTTAGAAGAGGAAAGGGTAGTTTTACATAGTGTGTGAGAATTGCACCTATTTTAACTCTGTAATTTTTTGAAAAATCGGGGAATTACCTTAAACTCAAACCTCTCCTGAAACCTAGAAGCTAAACTACCGTATTCTCTCTGATAGAAGCCTACCGAACCAACAACTTTGAGCTCAATTATCTCGACTCCTGTTAAAGATATGAACAATTTGTCACCTGATAAACTGTTAGTAATTTTATGATAATCAATTTATCAGTTGACAATTTTCTCATAATTCTGACAGGTACTGAGATGAATCATCTCAAAGTTTAATTATAGAGTGACGTTTTATTGGAGTATTACGGTAGGTCAAAAATTCCTTTTTTGATGTTTGGGTCAATATCTCAAAAATTTATTTCAGAAACATTTAAAAACTTGAACCCAACTGAAATTCAGAAGCTAAACTACCGTATTCCGTCTAACAGTAGTCAGCTCAAACCAGCAATTATGAGCTATATAAAACCCTGTCAACTGATAAAATATTGTTAATTTTATGATCAATAATTATTAGTTGACACAAACTTCTGATATCTTTCACAAAAATTGAGATAATGTCGCTTGAAGTTGATGATTTGGGTGTGCTACTATTAAAGCAATTACAGTACCTTTAATCTCTCTAAAAGTTCCCAAAATAGTTTTGACCGATTCATAGACTACCCTAAAACCTGTTCTAGAGGGCCTCTAAAATTGAAGTGCCTGTAAGTGCTCCCTCTAATTAAAGAGCTTCTCTAATTCAGAAGTCCCCTTAGGGATCTCACAAAAATAGAATAAATAGGGCGACCCTCCTAATACAGGTTATACGGTAACTAAACCATATTCCAGGCCAAACTCGAGTATTATCATACGGAATATCAGGAGATGCTAGTTCTCTACCAGGAGCTCATGGCCATTCTCTACAACATTCCACCACCACCACCACCACCATCTGCCGAATCACAACAGGAATAAGTTCCATAAGTTTTTTTTCTTATCAGCCTCTGCTTAACCATCAATTTTTGTACTCTAAATTATTTTGTTTGTACTAGAGAGTGAGTGATTTTTACAGTAATCCGGTCAAAAATTAAGTAAAATCAACCCATTTTTTCAAAAAAAAAAACCAAAATTTTCCTATTTTTTGATAATCTCTCGCTATGCAAAAAAATGTTTGCAATGATTTTAGCTTGAGTATATATTCAAAACTTGTATTCAAAACTTAACAATAGACTCATATTGAATGTATTCAAGCTTTTGATTCATGTTTCAATATACGTTTTTTTCTCTTTTTTGTATTTTTCAATTTCCTAGCTACTCCATAATTAATTTCCACATGATTCTTACTGTAGACGTTTCTGCCTAATAATTAATTTGTATGAGTTCGTTTGTATGAAATGTAGCGGCAATTTCGGGAGGGATTACTGTAATTAGCCTTGCGTAGCCTTACAAATGAGATTATGCGCAATGAGATTAAAAAAAGAGGAAGTAACATAAAACAAAGGTTGCGAACGGCTATCTCGGAAAAGATGATGATGACTAAATAATATAAAGTGAAAGAAAAAGAGTGTTGTGTGTGTATATGCCGGAGGCAGCTGCCGTTGGTGTTGGCCGTCGGGTTGGGGCCACACAACACGACTCGCCCGTTGCGAGCGGGGGCAAGAAATAGGGGAAAAAGGAATAAAAAGACACAAACAACGGGGCCGAGTAGAAGAGGAGAAGAGAGAGAAGAGAGAGAGAGTAGAGGAGGAAGACCAACCTCCGGACGAGCGCGAACGATTTGGGAAAAATGAGCGGAAACAAGAAGAACAACAGTGCTGTGTGTATGGGTATGCGGCCTCCGCGGCAGTCAGGCGGACTACGACACGGTCGAGGAAATAGGTGTGGAAAAGGAATGGGGGAGAGTAGGAGTAAGACGGACTGTCATGCAAGAGACACAGAGTCAAAACAGTTTTTGTGGAGGAGAGTTTGATCATCGGCCACACCGTTCGATGTGCTCTCTCTGTGCCTCTCGTGATTGATTGATTGATTTGGTTTTTAAAGGTCAGGTGACCAAAAAAGTGTGAATACCAATGTGAATAAGACGTTGAGTGGGAAAATAAGATGTGAATGTACAGTAGAACGGTCAACACAGTAATTGATCTATTACAGTAATATTCTAAGGGTGCGGTAGAACAGAAACGTTGGTGGTCGTGGCCAAAGAGCCTACAAAGTCACGGTAACCTGAAATTATCCTTTATTCCCAAGAAAAATTTGTACAATAAACATTTTCTGAAACAGACGGAAAATCAGAAATAAAAAATCCGAAAAAAAGCATTCAGGTTACGGTAGTTTTTCTTCACTGTACGTATTGGCTCGTACCACTATAAAAGTTGTCAATTTTAAATTCTAAAATGGGGCCAACGAACTCAAGATAATACTGTAGATGAACTCTTACGATTACTGTAGATGAATTCCTAGGAATACTGTAGAAGAATTAGTAGGCTTAATTATTAGGATAGGATTACAATAGATGAATTCTCACGATTACTGTACATGAATTCTTAGGAACACTAGAGCTGAATTCTTAGGAACACTGTAGATAAATTTTCAGGAATAGTGTAAACGAATTCTTAGGATTACTGTACGTGAGTTCTTAAGATTACTCTAAATGAATTCTCAGGATTACTGTAGTTGAAAATCAATTGTGACCTAGCACTAAAAAACAAAAACAAAAAGATTTCTGGAGGTATGGGGAATTGAACCCCAGCCCTCTCCCATGCTAAGGGAGCGCTCTACCACTGAGCTATACCCCCGCACACCGTGACTAGGGCAAACGGCAAAGACAAATGTTGCGTTTCATTTCTTTCTTGCCAGCCGACTGCAAACCTGTTTTCGCGTCTTCCGTGCGGCATCATCGGAAATTGTTTTCGCTTCCTACTCATTTTCTCACTTATTATTTCGTTTACTTAGTATATATGAAGGAAAAATCCAATTTCCTTTTTGCTTCTAAACTAAAATTATAGCCAAACACAGTCCACCAGGTATACAACGAAAAAAAAACTGTTGACAATAAACTGAAAAGAATATGAAGACAGTCTTCAATAGACGAGGAATATGAATCATAATGTTGTACACAATGGAGACTGAGTGATAAAAAATCAAAACAAAATGTTACGAAACACAAAAACTCTTCTTTTTTGGCACATTTGACATTCAGAAGACGAAGAAGTCTAGTAGTTTTTTAAACAAAATAAAGGAAAAGTTACATCATTCTTTGTCATCTCTATATTAAAAAACTGACGAGGTCATGAAATTGATCTTAGAATTCGTAAAAATGAGCAATGAACACTAGTTCTTGAAACAAAAGTGTAATGATGAAATGTGCAGATAACACGACTATGCGTTGCGCCAGCAAGGGTCACTCGGCAGCTGCTGGCGCCCTTGTTCCGACCTCGATCACTTCCAAGAAACATTAATATTTTGGAAAATGACCGAAACGGTTCGTCCGAGTTTATTAGGGGAATCATGTCCAGACATAAGAGTCACGAAAACCAAAAAAACCGATTTTTCGACATATCCAACCTCCACCAACCTCCCAGCAGTAATTATACTGTTATGGCCGTGCCCCGTCAAAGGACACACACAATGGACAATTTATGTTTATGGAAAGTGACATCACACTTTGGTAACCTCGTGAGATATTCACAACAGATTCAAATTTCAAATGGTAGTATTATTGTGATCTTTGATCTTTTAGGGGACAGTTACATCAGTTGCATCATCCAGCCAAATTTAATAAATTTTAATCGAGAAAGGCTAGCTTCTAATTTCTAATAAAAAAGTAATGTTCGTTGAAAGAGTAAAAAAAAGTTAAAGTCTACTGAACAAAAAAGAGCTTCAATTTTATAGTTGACGGCTGTCTTACGAAAATTCATCCAAATAAAATGAACTACCGTAAACACTCCGATAGACTGCCAGCCAACCTTTCGAGTTTGAGCCCAGATATCTCGATTTCTGTATAAGATATCAAGAAGTAGTCAACTGACAAAAGGTTGATTATGATATCAAAAACATTTTGTCTGTTTACATCTTTTTAATAGCATTCACAGAAACCGAGATATATGGATTCAGAGCTGAACGTTTGGTGGGCACTCAAATAGTGTCTACAGTAGTTCAGAGTCATAACACTATCAACGGGCCTATCTTGTTTTGATGGATTTTGACAAAAAAGTTGTCAACTACAAAACTAAAGTTCTATTTTAGTTTAGTATACCTTGAAACTTTCAGACGAATTGAAAAATTCTGAACAACTTTTTTAGGACTTCGAAGTTAACACTTTTTAACTGGGAACGGGTGAAATTTATGAACTTTTGTACTGTGGATTTTTGGAAATGTACCTAATTAGGGTTTAGCTGAAACTGAAAATACAGTCATTCATTACAGATTCTAAAGAAACGCTTGTATTTCGGCAGGACTTGTCATGCTATAATTAGAAACAATTATTTTGAAACTAAAAACCAAAATATATTAAATTAGCAAAATTCCTGATTGTATCTTTATCATTATTCGAAAGTACAAAAAACTCATACTCAATAATGCAAGTCCCAGTTGGCAAGAGTTCTTGACTACACATGAATACCAGAAAGATTTGTTGATCAAAAATCAGAAAAGACAGTGGAAAGGGAGATGCCAAAATTATATTTTACATCTCACTAAGATTGAAATCTCTGAAACCTAAAAAACTGAAAGTCTAGATACTAAATAACTTAAAATCTAGATACAAAAACAACGCGCGTTCAAAGCATATGCTGAATTTCTAAACCTACAGTAATCTCTTCTCTCCCAAAAACGTTATTTTAAAAAGCCCTTTAATATTACTTTTTGAAGTGAAAAATACTGAAAAAATTTATTTTTTTGGAAGCGAACATTCAGTTAGATGTGCGTGATATGCGTCACTAAAAACACCCCGAGAAAACGAAAAAAAAAATGAAAACGAGGATCGAATTTCTTTTTCCTCCTTCTTTTTTCCCCTTTTTACTTGTCCAGAAGAGACAAACAAGAACTTAAAGTTTCTCTGAAATTTTTCAAAAATATCTAGAAAATTTGGAGAATTCAGGTACCGACTAGAATGTGCCCTTGAAGTACTTTTTTCAGTCTACTTTTTTTTGTGTGCGAAAATTTTTGAGCAGCTGTGAAGATGTGCTGAAAAACGAAAAAAAAAAGATTTGCGAGCGAAACCGAGGAGTCGAGAAAAAGAGGAGGAAATGAGAATAGCAGAGGTTGGCTAATAAAAAAAGCCAAACAAAATGTTTTGCCAAAAAAGTAAGCTAGACACTGCTAAGAAGGAAATTGAGAAGATATAAAGAGATCGAAATGAGTCACAAATTCAACTCCCCAAGAAAGGCAAAAGACTACAATTAGCGACGGGTGTGGATTAGCCAAATTGGATGGAGTAACAAAGAAGAAGAAGGAAAACAAAGACGTAAAAACCCCCAGAAAAAGATAGAAAAGCACATGATTAAGTCCATTCCTCCAAAATTGATGTTTTGTCTTCTGACTTCTTTCCGTTTTTGGGTAGGGGACGGAAAGAAATGAAATGGGGGGAAATATTATTAGCCTCTCGGCTTTCCGTTGTTTTTCTGTAGTTCTTTTTCGGTGAAGAATAGAAGTTTTTGAACAATAATGCAAAGAAAATAAAAAGTAGAAACGAGGAACATGCAACAACTACAAGAGGATAGGAAAGAACAAAATTTTGTATTTTTTAAAAGATTTTTTGATTCCGAAGTTTCGAAATCCGAAATTCAATTGAAAACAAGACAAGCTGTGAGCTCCATTCTCTCGCTTCCTGTCAAAAATATCAAAAATCTGTCAACTGATAAAATTTTGATGACATCAAAATAATAATTTATTTGTTGACAATCTTTTCATATTTTTGGAAAGAACTGCGATAATTGAGCTCAAAGTTCACATATCAAATGTGCTCCAATTGGAGAAAT